TTCATATTTTTCGCAGAAAATCCTCGAAGGACGTTTGCCTTTAATGGCTAAAAACATTTTCTTTACTTTTGTTTCTTCTATAGGAATTTAGAAGTTATAGCTTCTTGTTTGAGGGTGCAGAACTACATTTGTTTTCCTAAAATCCAGTTACAATTAAAGAAAGTTCAGATTACAATTTAGTTGTAAAACTGATTAAACATTGAAATTGCTGGAAAACACCAATACACATATTAAAAAAAACTCATTTGAAAGTATATAATGTTATAAAAAACTAATTTCTAAATCAGTATGAATAGGAATTCGAAACTGGACAAATCTATTTTGAAGATACAGCACTGTTTCGGAGATTTTCCGAAGTTTCTAAATTTCTTCTACCAGTGGCGATAATGAATCTGAAACATGTTTTTGTGCTGTAATATATAAAAAGCTTTTAATTGACAAAGCTCCAATTGAAACAAGTCAAAGTGATAAGAAGTACCAATAAGCGCTTCTTTTGATGAGCAAGAGAAAATACAGATTTCTCTTTGTTTTACCCTTGCTTTCTTAAAGAAAAAAATATTTACTATGAAATCAGGTTACTGTAGATAAATTTGGACTTTTGTGAAATATTTTTATGGTTCGATACATTAATACCTTCGTTATAACTAGTCTGAGTGCAAAGTATTTTTGCGCTATTAAGCCTCGATTGTACCGCGATAAGAGGCACCGCGCATGCAAAATCCGAAAGGTAGTATTTAAAATGGTGAACTGAAAAGATAAAAAAATGGTTTTACTGGGCACAAGCGTCATTTTAATTTTACAAATCTAACAACTCTAGTTGCACAGAACTACCCCAGTCAGTAGCACTCCAAGCAACTCAAAAGTAGCCACAAAGTCCATCAGCGGCCGGCTATTAAAACCGCTGCACACCTGGGTCGTTCGATCCCGGTCCAGATTTGGACGAACAAGTTAGATATATTATACAAGTTATGGATTTCCGTAGTTTTATAAATGTATAAAGGAAATATGAGCCAGTTTCCCTCAGAAAGTTCTCCACTAAGGCATTCCTTCCATAAGACATTATGTCTTACTGTGCTTTGCCATAATTTAAATTTTTTATCCAGACACAGTTTTTCCTAGAACAGAACTTTTGTAAATTCATTTCCAGGAACAGATTACAGTGCTCGACACTTGAATGAATCTAGAGGGTAGCTCTTAACATTAGCGATTTTCTCAGCAGATTTAAAACTGGATCTGTAGCTTTCCTCAAATCTATTTGCCCAAACATGTTTAGTTTCATGAGAATCCACAATGATTTCTGACAATTTTCTCACGTAAGCGTTACAAAAATTGTGTTTTGTAAATTATGGTTCAAAATATTAATCCTATAAGTCAAAAGGAAGTCATTAATGTGCAGTGAGGTCTATTTAAAGAGTAAATAAGAATTGAGTATGTAATAAAAGATGCAGTCTTATATCAAAATAAGATTTCATCCTGCAGTAGTCATAAGAAACATTTTCTTAAGGCTGACAACCTATGAAATCAGAGCGCAGGAACTTATAAAGTGTTGCGGTTATGGGAAAAAAAAAAAACACGAAGAATCCTGCCGATAAGTTGACGCATTTTATAAAGTTAAAGCAAAATGAACAAGACACCAATTTATGGGTGTTAGCTAATTCAAATGTCGCGAAACATGTCTCAACACATTTCAAGCCCCAGCATAATATTGTGTATAAGTGTAAAATCGTATAAAAACGAAATTGCATAAAGAATAAGGTCTAACCAAAATTCGATAAAAAGCTGTCCGAAGTAGTTTGGCTTACTCATAAAACACGGACGTGTAGGCCTTTTTATGCATTCCTCACCAATGAAACGTTTAAACATGAAACGGTTAACTGAATAGATAATCGAGAAATAAGAAAATGCTCTAAAAATAAAAAAATTCAAATTTTTAAACAGCGTCAAGTGTATGCCTAGAAAATCTGATGCCCGTACCACTTAAAAAAACAGCTATAAGAACAATATCCAAATGTCTTACCCAGCTAAACTTATTAACAAATATTTTTTTATTTTTGAAATAATTTATATATTATATATAAAACTGTTCGCGATCCATGCTGAAATCCTTTAGATACATTTTATGAATATTACGTGCAGCTAGAATATCATTAAATTCAAATTCTCTTTGCTGACCCACGTACCTTGTCTACATATTCCTCCAATTCTCTGTGGTTCACATCATTTTCCATTTGCTAATTTATTGTACCTACGTCAGCCATTTTTATTATAATATTCTTAATACGATTAGTGACAAGTCTCATTCCTCTCACTTTCCAACCATTCGTCTTAATTTTCTTAATTTCCAAAATCAGAAACACTAAAAATAATTTCAGTTAAGACACGCTACCGCAATAGCTTTGCTGCCAAAACTTTGTTTTAACGAAATAGGGAATAAATTTTTTCAAACCCCGAATTCAAATCGAGATCTGAATTTCATTCCACGAATTTAGCAGTCCTGCTCTTCATTTAAAATTGTTCCCAAACCCTTCAAGATTTATTTTCCGCAAGAACTCATCGCAACAGGTTTCTTATAAACGAGTTATATTGTTAATATGACTGATACTCCGGCTAGATCAGTGAATCATGTTAGAACACCATTCTTCCTGCTGAATATGATTAACATGGCATAATACCAACTAGACTTGTCAGACCGTTACTTCCAATTACTGAATTAAAATTATTAACCTTTTCGTAGAAATTTCAACAACCATACAATTAAATGACCTCAAATCGAAAGGTTTTCAAAACTTGAGACAGCTTTCAGGCGATTTTATATTTGCCTAATGCTTAATTGCTTAATGGTTTGGAATTACGAGTCTCTGAGGCAAAGAAGAATTTCTGCGATATATCATCGTTACCGTATTTAAATTGTTTGCAATTTGGAGGCCTCTATCACTTCCCTTTTGTGAAAACTATTCATAAATGTTAAATTATGCTTTAAATTTTTAATGCTTTTCTCACGTAATCACCGAATTCTCTTTGTACAGCTGAAGAAACAGCCTTTGACCCTAGAATAAAACTCTTCACATTTAGTAAAGGGCATTCCTGAAAGACAGAAAATACCCCACATTCAGTTACAACTGCATCTTAAATACAAAAAACTAGGTAGTATATCTGCGGGATAGTGGAGCTAGTGAGCACGGTTTAGAAGTTGGCGTGCATTTCATTGTTGTTTGTGAGAGTAAAATTTACACAAGTCAGTTCTTGAATGCAAAAGTTTTTAAACATTGAAAATCAGCTTTAAAATACATTAAATGAGCTCCGAGTGCATAGAAGAGAAGTGCTTTTGCTATACACACACACACACACACACACACACACACATTGTGCCTGGGAGGGGAATGCCCATTTAATGTTCGTTTAACCATTCAAATAAATTTTTCCATACAAAGAATTTTTAACTACCTTACAAGTTTGTTACAGCTTTAATATTACAATTGTGTATACATTTCATAAACTTGTTAAAGTCACGTTACAGTTTAGATTCCACTCCTCAGTTTCATCCCCAGTTTGAATTAGTTGTACTTTGTCTTACCAGTTTTAACGAATTTTTTAAAACTGTTCTTTGTTAAGTTGATTACTTAAGCTCATGCATTCTTGTATAAAACAAAATGCACGCTAAAGAATAAAGTATTTAAAAAAATAAGTTTCTACAAGTAAAAAGCTTCTAATGAAAGAAAATATCAAGCAAGAAGTAAAGTTAGCAAAAGAACTGCCCACCTGCGAGTCATCTGACGGTATTGCTGCTTCTGTTTGCCTGTTTCAAGGAAATAATCCAAAAAATTATTCCCAGATTATGATTATTCTAGCTGTTTTGAGTTTTCCAAAATCTTAAAACATAGGTAAAAATAAAAATTCGAGCAAAAAACCCAACCAAGTTAGTCCATCACAGAATGAAATTTGCTTACAATTTAGCATTTGTAAGTTTGCCTCCGGGTGGAGGATTCTCGGGGTATTCCGAAGCGGACGCGGAAATAATAAACAGTGTACGTAAAGCAGTAAAGAAAAGGTTTACTTGGGCAGATGCTATCGCTGGCTACGAATTTTAATATACTGGCTACTTATAGAATCTGAAACCACCATATTAAAAGGCACTGCGTTTCTACTACATAAAAAATACCGAGGCCTATATTGATGCAAAAAATTAGATTTCAGTATTAATTCATAAAAATAACTAGCAACCAATGCAAGAAAATTAACAGAAAGCTTCGCAGTTTGAATTATTTACCGCTTAACACCCATATTAAATTAATTGGTAAATAGAGATAAAAATTGAAAAAAATCTGACGTTATTTTACGAAATTGAGGAGGTTTTATTTTTCGATGGTTACAAGGGATTTGTGGAATATCATTACTATATCAAAATGTATTTTGCAAAACCTAACAAATGTCAGCTGTTTTCACAATACTCGATTTCTCAATCTTTCCATGTATTACTTGAATACCAAACCTAAAACTAATGAAGAAAACCGCTTCAACTTTTAAAACATTTTAAATGTAATAACCTAGTTTTCGCTAATTATGATTCAATTGATAATTTGGAATTCGTGGCCACTTGAACTGTGAAACTATTCGAGTTCTTAGCGAGATATACAATCAGGAGGAAGTTTGTCGTTTTATACATCGAAACCAAGTAAACATGCAATTGCAAATGAGTTTTTTCCAGTGAATCTACACTTAGAGCTACTTGCAAATGACTTATAAAATAGAAAACTGCTTTACAGCTACTTTTCAGTTCCCACCATGTTTCTTATTTTAAAGTTCTTTTAACAGTGCTTTCGAGTTAATGTGATAAGTTTCCTACAAGTTCAAAAGAGAAACCTCTGTGTTTAGAAGATCTTACGTCTTCAGGGTTTCGGTACCTGTATTTTTGATTAAACGTTCAGCATAAAGAGCAGAATATCGTATAAAAAGTAAATAAAAGTACTCCGATATAAAAACGCTCAGGAAATCGACAACGATACATTTACTCACTTTTATTGGCAAACAATGATTATACACATACCTAAAGTTATATATTATGCTTAACTCCAATTTAAAATAAGTGAATTAGTCCACAGTTTCTCATGTCGCATGCTAATAAATTTGCATTAAGTCAGGAAATTTAAAATAAATTAGTTCTATGTCAAGAAATATTAAAACTTGTAAAGAAATGTTAAAAACGCCTTTGCACTCACAGATTTTTAAGAAATAGGGTGTAACCCAAAAGAAACACAGCAATACCAATAGCCCTTCCCTTCGAGTTTTCTTGTGTTATTATCGTGTGTGCACCTCCAACAGCACACAAAGCACCTCCGGCAACAATTAGCCGATTTTGATAGCAACTGCTTTTAGGTTTACTATTTTCATCGAAAATTTCTCTTTCTGACGAACTTCTAACATTCTGTGAAGAGGTCATTGAAGAAATGTGAATTTCTACCAGTTCATTAAAACTTTCAGAAACAGCCTTTAATAGTTCAGCAATATTCTTCATTTTCTCCTCTAATGAGATCTCTGAAGATGTCCCACTCTTTCTTGGAGAGAGCTTTCGTTTTTTATTCCTTTGATCTTTTAACTCAAATTTTTCATCCAAATCTTTCTTGAACTCCCGCAACTTCCCTTTAGCATCCTCTAGTTCATCTGTTATGTTGCTTGTACATGCATTGCGATCGGATGCATTTAATGTACGTACCTGAATAACATCAGCTACAGTTAAATGCTCGGTACCTTCAATTTTGTATAAAGAAGGAGTTGAACGAAACCTTTTTCTCCGTTTTACAGAGCGTGGTTTCTTTTTTACATTAATATTTGTAGCAAACTCAAGAGCAACTGGTGATGATTCTGAAGGGTTGACTACAGTAGACTCTGAAGCTAATTGACGTCTAGCAAATTCATTAGGTCTTTCAAAATCATCGATTACACGCGATCGATTATCATTCCAATTTTCAGGCACTTCAAAGGAAATCTGTTCACATTCCACCTCTACTGGACCACTTTCAGATATTAAACTGTCTTTCCTTTCTCTCGAAAACCGAAGTTTGGAAAAGATGGTAAAGATTTCTGGTATTGAATTGCTTCGGGGTTCATAGTGCAAGGGAAGACTCAAATAGTCTTCAGTTTCACTCTTTAGAGGAAGCGTCGGATAGTCTTGCAATTCATCTGTTAGGGAAATTAAATCTTTATCTTTTTCAGAATAATCAGTTTCTGGCAACGGATCATCATGAAGTTCCTCTTCTACTGAATAGCCTTCCGATGTTTCCATTATGGACAGGCTTCCTGGCTGGTTTTTAGGCTGAAAAGAATAAAATCATTAATACCCATTTGCCACAAAATTTTTATATTTCGGAGCTTAATAGTATTAAGCTTAAATTATTTACATATTTCAACAGTAAATGCCGCCTTTATATTTCTACATTAGAGGACACAAATATTAGAAAACTTGTTAATATCTATTCTAATTATTCATAATTTGGGCTTAATCATGTAACCCTACTAGCAAATACACGATATTGCAATGCCTCTAGTTGCCCATGGATTAGATTCCTAGAGAAGGGGAATCTGGATATATACTTAATTCGTCCTCGGCGACATTACGCTTTTTGTTTTTTCCCAGATTATGAAAAGTTTCCTGCTGATAGTCTAAAAATCTCGTTAACACGTTTTATAGGTAACATGAATACAAGCGAATTTATTTTAAGTCCTTCTCGAAAGACTTCCCTCTTTTAATGCAGATACCCTTCGAACGTTTTTTGAAATTTCGGTCCGTTGCTATATTTCGCAATGTTCAAACTTCCGTTTTGTAAAGAAAAGTCAAAATATGCAATGTAGCCAGAAGCTAAAATTTTACGGACACTAACAATTTACAAGAAATATAGATACCCTAAAATGGCTTGGTTTACTTGATTATGACAAAGTACACTAGAGCTATCTGCTTAAGGGAAGTGATGCCTTCGTGAAGGACTTTTTAAGGAAAATTAGCTCGTATACACGTTACACACAGAAAAAGCAGTCGTTCTTATGGGATTGGACTCAGATCGGAACTAACAGAGTTCAGCGATTTTACCGCTGCGGTTAGTGGGGCTAACTCAGAATGGTAATTCAAGAAAATACTATGCAGCAATAAATGTCAGACTTTCGTACGTTAAATTGGTGAAAGTCATAAATATTATGTTTACGGATTTACAGTAGCAAAGATTGTTAACCTTGTTTATCTTAAAATAAGTTAATCCAAAGAGATATTGTACATTTAAATTCTGAAGTTCTGAGCAGTACAATTTGCCAGTTATAACAGCCTCTCCCGATATAATGAGTAGTGGTTATAAGAAAGTTGGATTTAATATGCCCTCATCGGCGACATTTGCAGCAGTCATAAGGGGACTGTCGCTGTGAAGAGATGTTGTTAAAGAGTCTTCCCGTGTTTTGTAGCACACCAAAATCTCGATTATGACCTAAATTTCTGATAAGCCTAATAGACAAGGCTAAGGTACGAGTTAAACATTCAAATTAAGTTCCCGAATCTACGTTTTCCTCCTGCTTCCATCAGTTTTATCTTACGAGTTCTATTGCATATATATATCTGTTATTTCTTAATTTAGGAGATATATGCCCGAATTCATAAAAGGAAAGATTTATTTGGGTTTTAAGTTTTATTTTTCAGCTTATTTAAATATGGCAAAATAGGTGACGGCCACCATCTACCATGGTCTTCATGGAGAATTTTCAAAGGGAAACTGGCGTGTAGATACGTTACTCATGAAAAAAGCCCATTCAGGTAGTCCTTTCGTCTAGAATCGAACCCAGAGCAAACTATCAGTGTTCAACAATTTTACCGCCCGAAGGCAACGAATACTTTTCGAAAGGCAGATTACAATAAACAAAAAGGATCTTTACTGTGATAGAACATGCAGTAAAGTTTTCCAGTGGTACAACAGACTTATAAACAAATTCTGTGCGTGGCATTTATTTTCACAACCGTCGGTAGTAAATACGATTCCATTTGGAAGAATCTTGCATGATGCAAATGTTCAATTGGTATTTTTAAATTAAAGAAATAGTTTTGGAAAAGTGCGAAACCCAATTTCATTCTGATCCCCGTCAGTTTAGTTAAATTCAGGAAAATTTCATACGAATTTTCAAAAAGAAAATTATTAACTCCTATACTACAATTTCACAGTTATTTCCTTTCAACTTTTGGAGTTTTGCATCTTTCCGTGCTTCCCTTCAGTTTCTAGGAAGGACGAATTTTGTTCTTTGAAGTAATTTAAGAGATTAACGTTTAAGGAAGTTTATCACGGTCGAAACGAGCTGGATGAAAATGTTTTTAAGTTAATGCATATGAAAAGGCGATGACTTCATACTTCCACCCTACATATGTCTTGATACAGGAGGTTGTTTGGCGGGTTCTTGTTCTATAACAGGGAATATTCAGCTCAAGTTGAGTAAAAATGGACACTGTTCATTTTATGCAACTTACAAGGCGATATTTTAAACGCAGATCGTAAATTCAAGTCATTTTTAAATAACCTAAGTTATATCCTGAACGACATCTTGGCGAAAAAGCTTAATTAGCTCGCGAAATCTTAAAGAATCGATAACGATAACTTACATCTATTGATTTTATTAATGCCGCAGTGTTTAGGATTGGATTCATTAGATAACGGTAAAGTAACAATGGAGCTATCTACACCCAAGAGAAATATTCCTTTGTTAAGGATTTTAACGCAAACCTATTACTTGCCGTTTTTAATATGGAAAAAAGCACGAAAACGCTTATGCAACCCGTCTATTCGTCTGGAATTGAACTCGGGTCATACTACTATCAGCTCGCTTTATACTCTTGGTCTGCTTTATTAAGAACCGATGTTAATACATCAATTTCATTCACCTTTCAAAAACCTCCAATTGGCGACTCCTGCACTCAAATAGCTAAATATGAGTGAAGTCTCTTGGTACACGGGAAAAACCTCGAATCCATCAATACATTAAACTTCCTTTAAAAGCAGGAAATTCACGAAAATTTATGGGACAAAAAAGCAGCATTAGCATTTAATTGAATAAAAATAACATTTGATGTCTTGAGAAATCCGTTTAGTATAGCTGAAACTCGTTCATAACGGTGTAAAAATGCGTGAGCAATGAATGAAATGTCAGTTAATACCTGCATTATCTTCAGATTGGTAAAAATGCATTCTAGTCAATAAAATATGGATTTCAATGTATCCAACATACAGATAGTGTGATCACTTGCTACTGCATACGAGTTCTGCTTACATTGGACGAAACGTAACTAGCCAAAACGTTGTACTGGAAGAAAGAAAATGATATTAGATAACTTGCAAAGCTTTGAAGCACCATTTCCATATTTGTTGCTGAATTAATCTCCCTCAGTTTTTAACGATTGGCTGATAAACGAATTAAGATTTATAGAGATTTTTACAGTTCAATGAAGCGCTGTAAAATAGGGAGCTCAAATGGACTTCACCAGGAATTAAACAGAAATGATAGTATTACATAAACGGATGGAAACTGCATCACGCTGATTGGGAGTTGAAGTGTAAAAAGTTAGTTTCGTACTCAAAAATATTTGGAATGTTTAAAACGGTACTTTTTTTGTTCTAGTGGGACGTTACAAAAAATGGCGAAAGTATGTGCTGCATATATTTCTATAATATAGACATTAACAATGATTCCATATTATTCGCTCCTGCTCTGAATTCGATACGAAAAATTTCAAAGCTCACAAAGTTGTAAATTAACGAAAAGTTCAAGATTGAGAAATGAGCGCCAAACAAGACAGTCCCACCAGCGACTGAGCGCATTAAGACTGAATGTTCGGAGCTCGATTAGGTTTGCTATGCGTAACATGAATACGGGGCAGTTTTCTATCGAAAGTCCTCCATGAAGGTAGCCCGGCCTCTTGGCACATTGCCTTCATGTGATTTGCAATGTTCAAATAACTTGATTTAACCAAGAAATAGCTTAACTGGCGGATACACACACACACACCACAGGTTATTCCCAAGACCGATTCTGAATAATGAATGAAGGTTTCGTTTCTTTATTAAGTGGATCACTACATAGAGACAAATATAAAATCGGAAGAGAATTTATCTTCGATAATGATTTTGAATGTTTGCATCCGTATGAATTGAAGTTCATAAATAAATCGGAATCTGATACAAATCGGAATCTAATACTAGGGCTTTGTATTTGCCCCTAAACCTTTAGAAGCAAATATTCAGAGGTTAAACATCTAAATTTGGTAAAGTTAAGTTACACTTGTAACTGAATACTTTCGAATATGAAAACCTTTGCGAATTTTAAGCCATTCTTATTAGTATCCTTAAAGTTAGAATTTATTTGTGCATGCAGGTTAGAAAGTTCAGTACCTTGAAATGTTTTAAAGAACGCTAATGTGGTTAGAATTTTGAACGGAAAAACTCCATGATAAAAATACTAGTTATAAAAACTAATAGTGATGGGGATTCAAAAGTAGTAGATAGAAGCAATCAAAATACAAATTTTCAAGTGATTCCGTACGCTTCAAGATATCTAACCGCAGTTACCTAAATAAACCTTAAGCAGTTACCCAAATAAACCTTTAAAACGATTGTCAGTACGGTACTGAAAGCAAATACTCTGAAAACACAAGAAAATTCAAATCAGTGTCAGCCAACACAATATCCAATGCAGAACAGTTGCAGTAATCCATATGCTACTGTGCTGGATTGCAAACTTTCGTTTCTATGCATCAGAATTTATAAAATATCAGCTACTATTCCAAATGGCCACCTAGAGTATTATTTATAGAAGAAATATTATGTTAAATCAAACATTCCCTTTGCAACAGTCTTCTGCCAAATACAGGAGCTTGAATTATGAAAAAAACTCACGTATACTCTGCAATTCCACGTTTTAAAGACAAGGAAAACTTCGCTTGTTTTAGGATCTACGGAGAGCTAGCTGATCCTAAAAATAATTGAACTGATCCTTCTATTATTCTTCGGGGTTTATCCCACGTTTCTGACTAAACTATTGGAGATAATTTATTTTATTAGAATAGATCAAAAATCAAGCTATCACTGGTAATCACGAGAGATACTTAAAAGTACATGTAAAGGAAGTATTTGTTAAAAATAACAGACTTATGACAGCTTACCTTGGGCAGAAAGTTGAAGTGGAACGACTGGCTTGTTTATTAAAAACGAATTTCACATTTAAAGTGAAGTACCACAGTGTTTCTCAACCGCTGGTCAGTCCAAAATCTAGTTATTTGTACAAAAATTCTGCCAATGGGTCGAATTATTAAACTTACAAATCCGCGAGAATGTACCGAAATATTTTACCGGTCCTTGGAGTAAATTCAGTTAAGAAACACTGAAGTACCTTATGGTATCGCTTTGATAATTTTGTAAGCATCTTGCGAAATAACAACAGACAATAGTTCATTTAAAATGGACTCGATAATTCAGAACAAATAACTAGCAGATTTAGATAATTCATAAATAACTTTACGTATCCTTGAGTTACGCTTTTACTTATCAGAAATGAACTCTGTAATAAAAATTTATTCCGTATCTTTCAGTTAACCAGAAACAGGTCTCGTACATCTTATTTTGACAGAATTCTTCCTAGCAGTTAATTATCTATCACTTATTTAAATATTGCAGCTGTAATAGAACATAAAAATACAAACGCTTATTAAAACATTTAGAAATTTATAACTTACTGAAGTTTCAGTAGAACTTTGCTCCGCCATCGTGCTTTGACAAAAAGAAAGGCAAAGAACATTGTTGAGAAGTAAAACTGTGATTTATATTAAAAAAGGGGCCGCCACTATCACACCATTATACGTCAGTGATTCAATTTGCATTGCCGTTGTTTACTTACGTTATTAGAAATACATTGCGTCTTATGAATTCGCATAGTAATAGTTTATTCCATCTGTATATTTAAATTCTTCCATTGTAAACATTTATTCCATTGCACTAACTAAATTATTAGATTTTTTAGTAGAAGCAAGTAATAATCTGATTTTTCTTTAGCTTTTACCACCCCTTTCATTATATCATTCGCTTTACAATTACTTTTGTAATATTTTCTAGTAAATCTTACCTGATATATTGAAATATTTTTGTCAAACTTGTATGGACAATTTCCTATCAACGCAGAAATAACATGAAATATTTTGGAAACTGTACATATATTTAAAATAAGAAATATTTACAGCTGGTATTTAAATTTTAAAATGTGTCATGGGGAGAAACAACAGGGATTTTGTAATTACTGTAATGTATTTACGGATATAAAATTTTATAAATAAGGACCAAAATTCTTTTTATTAATTGTTTTGTACCAGATCTATACAAAGTGTTTGTTATTGATAACTTTTCAGTAAAATATGAAAATACTTTTATAGAACAAATATCTATTATTATTGAACAAATATTGTACTCTTTTCTCAATTCACATTCCTATATTGAGGTAAAATTCCCCGTTCTTCAAAATGATTTGTTTAATTATGACAAATCAGCTAGGACGTAATCTAAATCTCTTCAAAGTGAATGCCTTTCTATTAAAATATGATAAATCAATGTGTGACTTTAATTTTTACGAAATGTTAAATTAATTCAGCAAAAGATGAATTACCAATAAGAAGTCAAATTTCCAGAAAAACAACTAGACTTGTTTGAGCATGATACATTTCATTATTCATAATTACTTTTAAAAATATGAAAAGATTTTGTATGATATAAAATTAACAAATAGAAACTAATGTTTTGAGGACAGCGTAGTTACAAAAACATTGAACATTACAGAAAACAAAACTCAACTCTACAAAACCACTCAGAATTATAGGTATTACTTATGAAGATTTGAGAAGATATATTTGCCGGTTGAATGAACGTTACTTAGTCGAATTAATATTATCTGGTTTTTATTACAATAGTAAAGATCAAATGTCTGCTAGAATACTATATGAAGGAATGGTAACTCTCTTTAATGTTATTTGACGGTAGCTAGCAATATGTAAATTTCAAGGGCATAGTGTATAATCTTTAATATTTTTGTTATTTGTTTTACATATACAAAACTAAAGTATTACATAATGAAATTTTAATAGTTTTTAAAATATAATTTCAAATACTATATTTTAGAAACAAAGAAATGCAGTATTGATAGTTTAGAATCGTAAATTAAATTCTCGATAATTTAGTTTCGGGATAAATGTAATGACTTAGAAGAAATAGGTTACAACTTAATCAGAACAATTCTATTACTAAAGTGCTAACATTTGAAAATAAGCATTAGCCATATTTCATTATTTTTTTTCGTGCATTTATCATTCCAAACGGCACTTACATATTAACGCAACCACCCTGGGACAATATGGCGATTTTATGTTGCCGATGGAAATGTGAAAGTTACTTATCGAGTTCAAGGTGGTGACTTTAGCAACTGTGTATTTTAACATACCTATACTATATTTATCGTAAATCGGCAAACATTATTAACATATATTAGAAAAACAGTTAAGCAATTTAAAATAAAAATTTTTAATTATTAATAGAGATTATATGGTAACAAAATAAATAAGTATTGCAAAATCATTTTGTAATTTTATGCTCTGATCTCCCTGTGCATACAGCTTTCTTTTTTCCGAAAAAAGGGGGGGGGTCAGAGAAACACACAAACCTGTCTCAGACACAATTTCAACATTATTAATAAGCTATCTATCATACGCATCTCATTGTTTCTTTTTTTAGCGATTTTGCCACAAAAATAATATACTCCTGCAGAGATTTTACTGCTTTTTCTTCCATTGCTAGCAAATTCTGGAACCGAATAATTTAAAATTGAGGTTGCAACTTAGAACGAGAAGAACGCTTAAGAAAATGGCGATGTTGCTTGGCTGAAAGACTTACGAAGGTTGCCAGAAGGACATTAATGCGCGTGGTTGCCAGAGTTTGGCATATTCCGATGATTTGGGGATAATACGTAAGTACTAATGAGTTCCTTGATAAAAGCCCACACAATAAATATCCGCATGGATAAAATTCCACATGAATTAAGACTCATACAGGAAAAAGCTCCCATTATTCAAAGCTTACATCATGGAAAGTCTACATGTAAAAAGACATATGACTGTTACTAATATAGATCTTAATTGTTAATAATATAAAATGCATTTTTGATTGTAATTATAATAAACAAAATAATTGAATCGTATCGGGTCAGACCATAGATAACGCGCTTTTTTCAATTGCGTGAAAATTCGAATGGAGATGAGATAATTACGTCAACGTACTTTATTCTTAGTATAAGTTTTGAAGAATGGAGTTTGATTTTAACATTTATTTTTCAAAGTTATAATGTAAGTGACAAAGGAGCATATTTAGAACTTTTTGTTTAATGAGTTCCATTAAATAATTATTAATAGGAATATTGATGCAGCGTTTGGGGATCGACCAAGTCAACATCAACAGTGATTCCAGAAATTCTGAACAGAAACCTACAGCTAGAGAAAAAGCTTCTTCTTGGAAGATCTATACAGCTTGATGATGATATCCTGCGAGCCTTGGTGGAACATATTCCATCGTAACTATTGAAAAACTAACAGACGGTGAAGGAGAATATGTACTGATTTTTAGTATCTTAAATATATCTTATGTCTATAAATTGAAGATAAGTTCTTCCAGACTATATTATTTATCTAAAAATATCAATTTAGAATTTTATAGTTGTGGGCAAACGAAGTGAGCTGTTCTGCTTTCTGATTAAGTGGTTAGCTATAATATTTCGGAGACAAGTCTGTAAGCTTTACGTTTTTCTTTGATGTGTGAAAATAAAAAATATTATTGTGATGTTTCTTAAAGCAGCTTCTAATGATATATAACTAATGGTATATAATATATATGTTTCAGATTTTAATTTTATTTCTGTAAATGCACTGGTATATGAAATTAGAAGAACATCTTTGTTAAAAGATTTTATTCACAGCGTTTGAGTAAATTTTATTGAACCGTCAAAAGATCAACTCTGAATCATGAAAAGAGAGCTTTAAAGTCAACGTCAACAGTGATTCCAGAAATTCTGAGCAGAAACTAACATTTCGAAATAAAAATTAGCAACAGTAACATCACAGTGTATGTCGATGCAGTGTCATATGAAATGGATGTTTCTTAGTGAACTACATGTTCCGCTTCTCGCAAAAGAAGCAGCTTTTTGCATCTAAATAATTGCATTTTGAGCAAAAGTATATAGAAGCGAGCCGTATAGTTATTAGGAATTGGTCGAAACTAATAGATCGATACATCCATTATTGGAATAAGAAAAAATAAAACTGCACACGTTTGGATGTGATTTCAAGAAAAGGGAAGTATTCGAAGACGTCCTGTTAATGACCCAAGTTACCACCTTAACTGGTTCTTGTAGCTGTTAGAGCAGTCAGTCCTCCACTGTGTCCTTCTGCTCATCGCCCGAGTTGAAGCGCTTCCCTTTGAGATGTGACTTCTCACCAAGTCTTTCACCTTCTCGATGAGTTGCCATATCATTTTCGGTTAAAAATGTTTTATACAATTGGGACTCAGCCTAGCAGCTAATTAACTTACGACATATCTAACAATACTAAGATTACGGGGAGACAGAAAAATGCAAAGAATTATGAAGCATCTCGAAAGGTATACGTCGCTACACACATATTTGCTACTCAAATACATTGCTACTCAAAAGCTGAGCTCGTCGGCCAAGCTCATCTATAAAGCTACAGGGCTTCCGCTCAAAGAAACATACTGGGAAATCGTTCTTGTACTTCTTTCGAGTAGTAATTCCGTTTTACCCGTAGCCCTGTATATGGTCTCCTCTACCAACTGCATGTAATTTTTTGCCACGTATTTTCCATTGCCAGGCATTCAAATACTTTATGTCGAATTTTTGAAAACCTAATGGCCAGATTTTAATGAAATTTAGTACGAATATACATTTATATCAGAGAAAGAGATGTACTATTCGAAAGTCATTTTATGTATTAACAGCTTACAGATTATCAGTAAAGCTCATAGTGCTGGGATGTTCAAAATCCACGATGTGTTATCGAATAGAAAATTAATCTAATATGGGGCATGGTCCCTTCTCATAGCCAGACAGATAGCACATCATGACGCATACGGAACAGAAGGCAATTGTAGACTTCCCACTTCTGCAACAAGGCAATTTTTCAGTTCTGGGATGGTTCTCAGAGGCGAGATGAAATTGCTCTCTCAAGAGCGTCCAAGACATGCTGTACAAAGTTAAGCCTAGGAGATCGGTTGGCCAATCCATGAGATGAATATCCTTACTTTTCCGGTAATCGTCGATCAGCTGAGTCCTATTTGGAAGAGAGTTGTCCTATGGGAATCCAAGACAAACTGCTCCCCTGAACAGTCGAGCATAGGACTCTTCAAGTTTCTCTGTGCACCTCATAGCAGTCAGGAAGCTTTGTCAAATACATGCAGGCGTGAAGGCCGTCCAACATAATGCCTGCCCAAACCATTACAGCTCCGCCATTCTTTTCCCAGATGAGAGAGGGATGGTATTGTATTCCAGACTCTTTTCAGATACAAGTATGCCGAGGATCAGTGTCGAGCTGAATATGGACTCATCTATAAAAAAACACGGTGCTCCACTTAAGTCTGATGCAAGGCACATACAGCCCTATCTCATGAAGCCTGCGGGCGACTGCAAATAGTGAAATTCGGGTTCCAGTGGCAGCACACGGCTCACTTGATTCTGTAGAGCTGTAGCAGTCCTGTGTCACCACCTTCAAACTGCGGAGTAATAATAATATA